GTGATGCTAGGAATCTGCAAATTACTTTTCTCCTTCATCAAGGAATAGGGGGCATTGGAACGAGATGCTGAAAGGTAGGAAGATCCCAGAAAACACTTGTTCTTTCCTTCTGCTTGCTGTTTTTGTGTCATCTGGCCGATAACCCTCTGCTAGCTGGAGTTGACAGGCATCTTCCTATATGCCCAGAATTAACTTCACCACACCCTGACAAAGGTACCGGCTTACCTTGGGAGCCCGTCCTCCTCAGAAGTCCCAGTCCCAGCTCTGCCAGGGTCCCTACCTCCAGCTTCTAAGTTCTGACAACACCCTCCTCTTCTCCTTATATTCCTAGCCTTAGGAGATGGTTGCTTCTTGCAGTTCCTATCTCTGTGTTTAACCCATTCCTTCTATCAAATTCTCTCTGTTGAAATACCTGGGATGGTTTCTGCTTTTCTGTTTGGATCCTGATCGAAACAAATGCTTGATGATATGAGCCATTAATATTATCCGAAAAATTCCACTTCACACACGTGCGTGCATGCACACACACGTACACATGCGCGTGTGTGCGCACGCACACACACACACACACACTTTCCTGCTTATCATACATCTCTCTGATTAGAATTGGCTTCTCATGCAAATTTTCTACAGAGAGAATTTCTCTCCGGCAAGCATGTAAAACACGTATAGTTCACTTGAAAGCCGTATTTTTCATTATAAGTGAATACATTTGAGTGCTGGTTTTTATACATCAGTCTCTGGTGACCTTATTTGGTTATGGACACAGATCTATTTTGGGGACACCGGCAATGGGTATCCTGCACTTGCTGAATGAGGGTCAGGCCCGAAACTGTCGTTCCAGTAAAGTGAGGACACCCTGACCAGTCGACCACCCTCCTCTCTTATTCCTCCCCACACTGGTGTCAAGCATGAACCTGTTTCTGTTCAAATGGCAATAGCTAATATTAAGAGACAATGTCCCCCTTTTGAACACATTACATTCCTTTTTTTTAATTCTTCTCCAAAGAAAACTTCTCTGAAAAGGATCTAAAAGTCTTCAACATTAAGATATAAGTGACCAGGGCGCCTGGGTGGCTCAGTTGGTTAAGCGACTGCCTTCGGCTCAGGTCATGATCCTGGAGTCCCAGGATCGAGTCCCACATTGGGCTCCCTGCTCAGCGGGGTGTCTGCTTCTCCCTCTGACCCTCGTCCCTCTCGTGCTCTCTATCTCTCATTCTCTCTTGCTCAAATAAATAAATAAATAAAATCTTAAAAAAAAAAAAAGATATAAGTGACCAATACAGTTAAACCACCTCCTCTAAGAGAGTATTTTAATTTTATTTGCATTTTAATAAACCTTTAATTGGTTTAAATTTGAGGGTTCAAGTACTGATTTTAGAATCCCAGAATTCATTGAGCTGAGCACTGGAGTATTTTTCAGTGAGAAGGGGTAGAGGGGAGGTGGGTCACACTCCAACTGCTCCTGAAAATCATGCAAACAGATGCCTTCTTTAGCTATCCTTCAAGTTGGCACTGATATAAAGACACGTTCAATCCCACACAGTCCTTGACTGTCCCTGGCCAGACCATAGCTGATCTCCTTTTGGCCAAGGCCACAGTGGAGCACCCTGGGGGAAGCCACAGGGCACCTACACATTTCATAACAGCCTCCTTTGTAGGGCTAAACAAATATTTGCTTCTAGCCTGCAGAGCTGATTCACAGGCCTGAGTTTTCACACATATTCATGTGTACCTCTGCTGCTCACAGGGGTGTCTATGCCAACCTCCTGGCTGGACCCCCACGGCCAGCTGAGCAAGCAAGACGTAGTGGCAGTCCCAGCTCGTCTTAGCAGCTGGATGCCCCCACCTCGGTGCAGAATGGGGACTCCGGCTTTCACCAGGGGCATGTTCTAGATATTTCCAGTACTCAGTTCACAGGCAAGAAATGATGGCCCAACTCCAATTCACATCTTTGAAAACTGGATAAACTGGATACAAAGGCCATGGCCAGAACATGTGTGAAACGATAACTCCAAGTAAGATTTAATAATAAGCCAAAGTTTAAAATGAACCTAATGGGAAATTACTGGAGACAAATAAAAGGGACCCATGCCTTTGGGCTGGGGCCCCTAGTTGGGGCCAGACTTGTGACTTTGCATCCTTGAACTTGAGCAATTGGCTAAGTCTTTTCAGACTGCCCTCTCCTCATTGGCAAGATGATGGGGGCTGGGGTTTTTTCAAAGCTTCCGCACATAGTCACCTATTTGTTTGCTGGGGCCACCATAACAAAGTACCACAACTCAAGGGGCTTACACAAAGAAATTCATTGTCTGCTAATTCTGGAGGCTGGAAGGCTGAGGTCAAGTTTGTTCCTTTCGGGCTGTGTGGGGGGAATCTGCTCCATGTCCTTCTCCCAGCTTCTGGTAGCTTGCTGGCCATCTTTGGTGTTCCCTGACTTGTAAATGCACCGCCCCCATCCCTGCCTACGTCTACACACCACATTCTCCCTGTGTGCGTGTCTGTCTCTGTGTCCAAATTTTTCCTCTATAAGAACACAGTCGTATCTGGTTAGGGCCCACCCCAATGACCTCATCTTAACTTGATCATCTACAAAGATTCTATCTCCAAATAAAGTCATCTTGCAGAAGTATGGAGATTAGGACTCCCACATCTTTTTGGGTGATATAATTCCACTCATAACCTTCTGACCTGATTTTTGCAGGTGAGCCTCCTGGCAGATGGCTATGGAGCTGGCCTTCTCTCCACAGCCAGCCTGTCATTGGTCTTCTACTTTTCTGTAAGAAGGCAGGAGGACAGATAGATACCTGTCTTGATGATGGCTTTCCAATCGTATAACGCCAAGCAAGTCCCTTTACCTCTCTGAGCCCCTGTTTCCTCGTCTAAAAGATGGCAATAATAGGTTTACTGAGAGAAGTCAGTAACCTAAAGCAAAGAAATACTTGTCTGACACATGGTAAGTGTTCACCAAATTATAGATATTTTTATTTATTCCTGTTGAGTCAAGGGGAGGATGGGTCAGCAACTCCCTAACCCTGGCTGCATATTAGAATCAACTCAGGGAACTTTTTGAAAACTATTGGCACCCAGGCCCCACTAGAGATTCTGACTCAATTGCTCTGGGATGGGGTCCAGGCACTGATATATTTAGAACCTTCCTGGTTTGTTTCAATAGGTAGCCAGGATTGAGAACCACTAGAATAGCTGAAAGGATTGAAAACACCAGTGGAAACCCTCGATGTGGTTGAAAGTCAGAAGAGGTTGATTTGTAGCTACTTAGCCAGATGGTCCAGGTTGTGAGAGGTGCCAGGGACAGCTCTTAGAAAACTTTGAATGAGGTGACCTAGATTTCTGAGCCATTTCTTGCTTTGTGGTCTCCCTGCAAAAGTGTTTCCAGGCCTCTCCTGTGAGGAGGCATCCCCACGGAGACACTCCCGTGGGCCTTTTCTCTCACAGCGATATTCCATCCACTTGCTTGCCCACAAGACCCGTCTCAGCTCCAGGTCTGGGAAAGAAATCCTCAGTAAGAGTTAATGCCAGATAACAGCTTGATGCACTACCTTCCCTAGGGTTATCTGCCTAGGAGGGCTCATCACCGGTTTCCAAGAATTCAACGGTGAGGAAATTTTGGATGGGTAGACTTACGGGATGGGGATGGCCGAGCCTCTGATCCGCCACTGGGTGGGAACTGCTCGCTTTTGAATAGGCATGACTATATATATATATATATATATATATATATATCTCCTATATATAGAGGCAGCTGTCCGGCAAAAGTGATACCACTTGCATCAGTGACTGGGTCTCAGGTCCCTTTGCTGCCTCTTCCCCCTTTCCAGCTGCTCTGTTGCCTCATCATCAGGCCTGGCTTCTCCCAGGTTTGGCCTTCTTACAGTGCCATGCTTGTCCACTTAGCAGGAGACACTTGCCACTCATTGTCCCTTAAGTCCCAGGGTCTCTGCAATTCTCCTGGGGGAGGGGGGGCAGTGACTTTTTGTTCTGTGAGTGAATGAGTAATATTAAATGAAATGATATGTAAATAGAAGCAATTTTTCATGGCCCGGCTACATAAATGCCCTTAATTTATTATCATAAAGAAGTTAGGGATATCCATTTGCTCTTTGACCAAATTAAAAGAAGTGTAGCAAATAAAAGAAATAATGATAATTCTCTTCATTCTGATCTGATGAAACAGCGTGTTTGGTTTGGCCCTTTCCATTTCTTCCATTTTAATCAAGAATATGTCAGAAGGAGGAGTGGCCAGAGACAGACAAGTGTCTTTTAATAGAAAGCAGGATGTTGTGCCTTCATCTGGCAATCACTGACTTGGCTTTTGGAAACGCAGGGGAAAGGGAAATCTAACCTAGAATGGGGACATGCTCTTGCTAGACCCAGGGACTCTGCACCGGAATCCAGCTCAGTGTTCTGGAGTCACCCAATTGCCTTCTGCTGCTGACGTCTGGAAGGAGGAATGAGTTCCTTTAAGTGGACCAGCGTGGAGAAGCATTAGCTGTACAGCGAGAGTGCATGAGCTCTCCGGATTGCCCTGAACCAGTCCGCCCAGCCATTTCAGACAGAACTGATGCAGTGAAGCCCAAATTTCCTGGCAAGCCTGAGGGCAGGTTTTTCCAAAAGCATCTCAGACCGTGAAGGCACATGTCTAATCACGAAAGCAAACCTCTGGACACATGCTGTCTGTTTCCAGCTGGTTGTGTATGTTTCCCTCACACTTTAACACAAACGTGCCAAGGTGTGACATTTATGAACCCCACCAACTGGGAGCTGCGCACACCAACCCGGTTGCCTGGTTGCGGGGGGAGTGATGAATGGGGGCTGTCCTGCCTGGGGAGGAGGACTGCTTCCCTCTGGCATGCCTGCAGCCTTATTTATTACACACCAAAGTATAAAAGCGCCCAGCCGGCGGCAGCTCGCCTCTCCAGCCCTGGCATTTGCCTGAGAAGCCCCGCCGTGCTCTCCAGGAGGCTCTGGGGCTCTGTTGAGAATCATGCTCGGGAGGCAGCTCGTCTCTTGGCACCTGCTGGCTTTGCTTTTCCTCCCATTTTGCCTCTGTCAAGATGAATACATGGAGGTGAGCGGAAGAGCTAATAAAGTAGTGGCGAGAATAGTGCAAAGCCACCAGCAGACTGGCCGTAGCGGCTCCAGGAGGGAGAAAGTGAGAGAGCGGAGCCATCCTAAAACTGGGACTGTGGATAATAACACTTCTACAGACCTAAAATCCCTGAGACCAGATGAGCTACCGCACCCCGAGGTAGATGACCTAGCCCAGATCACCCCATTCTGGGGCCAGGTACTCGGAATTCTCTTCTAAGGGTTACTGTGAAAGCTTAACGAGTTTTGTTGTTCTTTTTCAGCTGCGATTCTTAGGATCAATGCTTTCGAGAAGTTTGCTATGCTGCTTGTGGGGGTCTTTCTGGGTTGCTCTGGGGTCCTGGGAGGGGGACGACTGCCGATCTCTGTTAGGAAATCAGCAGAGGATGTGGGGCACAGGGTGTCCCCCGGGGTCAAGGAGAACAGAGCAGCCAGCTCCCTGCTGTGCTATGACTTGATTTCTTTCTTGCTCTCTTGGTGTGCAAAGTGCTGAGCACGCAGATAAGAGGGATGGCTGGAGACAATCATTTGCAGATCCTAAGAGAGTTGGATTTTCTTAATCCTTCCCAGCAGGGAGAAGCTGCCCTTTGAGTTTTTCACTTTCATGTGTTAGTTGACTGCGACATTTCATGCCAGGCTTGTTTATTTGATTTATAGTCGACTAGGTTGCTCAGCCTCTATGTTCAGCCTGTGAACCATAGAATTAGAACAAACAAGACTGCATGTGTATTAAAAGCAAAACTTCATTGTGTGATTTAAAGCCTGATAATCACAGAGGACTTGCTTTATTTCCCTGGGTGTGAACTCAGCACCCAAGGAAACATCTTTAACTCTTTTTGGGGATTTTTGGAGTGAGGTCAGGTTTCAGTGTAGTGAATTGCAAATTGGTGAAATTCAATTTCATTTAAAACATTAAGAACAGACAAAACGGATTTTGACTTACCTTCTCGGTATCTGGCAGGCTGAAATCAGAGGAAGGGGGCAGAAAGAGTTACTTTGAATTACAAGAGCTTTGAACGAAGAGGTTTTACAACAAGAATTCACTGTGTCTTTGCATTCAATAGGCCCTGGAAAGGTTCATGCAGGTGAAATCCAAGCCCGGCCTCTCACAGACTGAAAACTTTGGGTTGAAACTGGTGATATGATCAGACTGAAACCGCACACATGATCAGCTAGAGATCTGGGGCTGAGCTGGGATTTCTAACTCAGCTGCACAGTGCAGTCGCCCAGACTGTTCTGTCAGACGGTGTCAAGAAAAAATTGTTTCTTGGGGCGCCTGGGTGCCTCAGTGGGTTCAGCGTCTGCCTTGGGCGCAGGTCACGATCTCAGCGCGGAGCCTGCTTCTCCCTCTCCCTCTGCCCCTCCCCCTGCTTGTGCTCTCCCCACCCCCGTCAGGTAAATAAATAAAATCTTTTTTAAAAAAATAAAAAATTGTTTCGTTAAGGAGCCACAAAAGAAATGATAACCTCCAAATACTTATTTTTCAAAGCCCACTTTTAGATATTGTCCTTTCATCTGACAATCTTTTTATTTTTTTCTTAAGATTTATTTATTTATTTTAGAAAGAGATAAAGAAAGTGCGCGGGGTGGGGGCAGGGGCAGAAGGAGAGGGAGTCTTAAGTAAACTCGGGCTAAGCGTGGAGTGGAACGTGGGGCTCAAACTCACAACCCCAAGATCAAGAGTCACATGCTCGGGGCGCCTGGGTGGCTCAGTTGGTTGAGCGACTGTCTTCGGCTCAGGTCGTGATCCTGGAGTCCCGGGATCGAGTCCCGCATCGGGCTCCCTGCTCAGCAGGGAGTCTGTTTCTCCCTCTGACCCTCCCCTCTCTCATGCGCGCGCTCTCTCTCTCTCATTCTCTCTCTCAAATAAGTAAAATCTAAAAAAAAAAAACCAGAGTCACACGCTCTACTGACTGAGCCAGCCAGGCGCCCCTCATCTGATAATCTTTTGGCTGGAGGGTGACTCATGGTCCTCTGTATTTCCTTGTGGTGAAGATATTTTCATTTTCGTCCAGGCTTTGACCTGGACTTTCCATTTCAGTGGGTGGGATGTTTGCTGGGCCCTCCCTGGCCTTCGCAGTATGTGCTCCCAGGCGCAGCAGAAGGCAGATGTACGCTGTCGTTTGTTGTTATTTCTTGGCAACCAACACCCAGCAGGCCACTGGAATCCAAATTACATTTCTACTTCGCCCTATCTTTGAGTAGGCAGCCAGCATGCTGGAGTCAGATGAGGGGGGCGGGAAGTCACTTCCTGGCTTTCTTTTGTTGAAGTGGCAGTGGGGAGGGGGTGGGCTTTCAAACCCTCTTGGGCTCAAACAAACCCCCAACAGCAGATCCCGAGGAGATTTAGAATCATTGATATTCTGGCAATCCTCAATACGACTCCTCTGCCAATAAGTATGGAGACTCACTGCATTTAGGATTTTCCTGTGTTCCCCTCCTCTCTTCTTTTAATTCTTCTTTTTCCTCATTTGTTGTTTCACCTATGATTTCCTGTGCTTCTAGTATGTGCCAAGCTTTAGGATGGGGATAAATAAGCCCAAGCCCATCTCCGGACAGTTCTGAAGGGCTCTCATGGGGACAAATGACCAGATCATTGAATACCGTGTGGTAAACAAAATCTCTGCACAAAAGGCAGTTGGGGAGAAAGTGCCAGAGTGGGGGTGGCTGCTGCATTGATTCCCAGAAGTGAGACAAAAAGGATCGTTATCCACGCAAGAAATAAAATCTGAAACTATGTGGGACAGCAAAGAGATGAGAGAGCCTGGGAGGGATGGGCACAGCTGGAGCCCCTGAGCTGTTCGACGAAGACACAGGATGATCTCAGTGCCAGCCTGGAAGATTCTGTTGGCCGGTTGATTTAGTTTGCCCGCCAAAGTTGTGTTTGTTTGTTCACAACAGGGCAGTGAGGTGGGCTGGTTCAGTGTGTGTGTTCTAGAAAAAGCACTCTGGCCATGGGCTTCGTGGTGGGTAGAGTGTGCAGAGACTGGGGGGAGAGCAGACCTGGGCTCTCTTTTCTAGGCAGTTTCTTCCTTTATCAAACTCCACCCCCCCACCCCCCCCCACCCCCCCACCCCCGTCTCCTGGACTCCCTCCTCCCCTTCTGCCCAACCCCCTTCTCCTTCCTCTTCCCTCTTGCTTCGGTTAAAGAAGGCGCTGTGGGCCCTCTTTCTGAGAAGTCACTCGCCAATAGCAGAGCAGAACCTGAGTAGCTGCCCCATGGCCTCCATCCACAAAAGGGCTGGGACTTGTCTTAGACCCCTCCCTCCTCCCGTGCTGCTCATTCTCCTTTGGCTTTCACATTTGACCTGATTATGAGAAAAGGGTTGATAAACTTAAGAGGGTATATGTAGTGACTCCCTAGCGTGTAATTGTCCCTTACTTAGGTGATAACTTCTGACTTAACACATCCTAACTTGTTCTAAGGGTCCCTCAAAAGGCTCACAAGCATTATTCCATTTGACTGTATTGTGAAGGACCAGGCCAGAGGAACATGTGAATGTTGTAGGGGGGCTCTCAGGACATGACCAACTAGGAGGAACCAGAAGATTCTCCCCACTGGGGTGGCAGCTCTCTGCTTTCGAAGTGCTCCCAAGTAGCTTGGGCACCCACACCCGAGCAGCCCACTCTTCTGGAGCTAACTTCTCACACTCAGACAACCAGACTTTACAAACAGAATCTTTCTAAACCATTATTTGAGGGTTTAGAAAAGACCTTAGTATCTTTGCTCGCTCTTAGAGCTGGCAAGAAATTTCCTGGCCATTTTACCCAGTGCCCTAATTTAGTAGACAAGAAAAATGATGCGGGGCGGCGGCGGGGCGGGGGGGGGAGTGACATCACTAAAGCCACACAGAACTGAGATAGGAGTTCTGGTTCCAGGACAGTCATGTTCCTAAAATTCTTAGCATCCCAGGAACTCAGTTCTGTTTTCATATGGCTCCCGCTTCAGAATTTTCCCTCCTTCTCCCCCAAAGCCCATTATTGGCAGAGCCTTGGATTTCTTGGAACTTAAAAAAAACTGTATTTCACATTAGCAAAATCATACCAGGAAATTATGAAATACTTCTCAGATTGCGTCCTTGGATTAGAAGGTGGGGTGGTGCTGTGGCATCTGACTTTCCAAGTGTCTGAAGTTGCTTGTCCTAGACCACTTGCTTTAGCTGATTTTCTTTTCCTCCACCAGTTTTACCAAAGGTTTTTGCAGACTCCCGTATCTGTCCAGTGTGGGGTCTGGTGGGCAGAAGACTAGACAGGAGTTAGCTCCACATTGTGGCCCCTGATCACTTGAGACTCCGGCTCTGTGATGTTGCAAGAGAATGCTCAGACTACAGATAGACTGCATTTTCCCTGAAGAGCATGGTGGAGGCCTTAAAGGAAAAGGAATGAAGGAGGGAGGAAAACATCCAAGCCCATTTTTGATTAAACAACAACAAAAAATAGTGAAGTCTAAATGTGCAGAAACGGAAGACTTGACCCACTTTTCTGCTTGGATTTCTAGCGATAGAGAAAAACCTGAATTTCAAATTCTTCCTTCCTTTCTCCCTCCCCTACTACCCCTCCCTCTTTTGCTCCTTCCCTTTCTTTAGAATCCTTTAGAAATAATACGCTGTTTTCAACAGACCATTGAATTATAACTCAAGTTTAGGAAAATTTCCATAAATATTTTATATTACTAATCAAAAGGCAAGTTACCAGTTTAGTGTCACTCTAAATTTTATCAACGAATCTAGCTCTTGTACTAGATCTGTAGCTCCTTGACAGTAAGCACACATTTTAGAAATTTTTCTTTAAATAAATAAGCAAGTCCGCTCAGTGTCACATTTGAGTACACTTAGTACCCATTAAGTACTCACTGAATATTGGTTCGAACGATGTGATAATCTTTTAAAATTTTGAAGTAAAATATGATACAGGACCTGAGGTTAAATACTGCTTAAGGGGGAGTTAAAGTTGTTTCAAGATGTAGATACTTAATAGTAATTTGCTGGGCTAAAGAATACTTTGTTTCCTCCATGTCCTAAGGCAGTTTAAGTGTGTTGTGACTGAAAGAGTGGCATTTTGACTCAAAATTTCTAAGAACTCTTATCCCAGTATCCTGAATATAGAAATTCTTAATAAGTATCATGGAAGTTGATCCTTCTTACCATTTGAGGGTCACCTACTCAAAGGAGAGACAGGGGAGGCTCCTGGCAGCCGGGAATGAGAGGGCCGCCTCCAAGTCCACCTCTGAAGGGGTTTCCTCCTTGGCCATCACAGTAGACTCAAGACAGTACTTCGCAGAAACACTGCCCCTTCCCCTGCCAGCACCACACTCCTTCCAAAGAGCATGCCCTTCTTTTGACCCTCTGACTTACTTGTCCTTTTGGTCATCGGGTCTCTTTAGCTAGCATGCCATTCAAGCCCCCACCCCACACCAGCTTTTCTGATGCTGTCGTAGGTTGTTTGGAGTTAAACTTACCCAAAAGATGAGACCAAGGGAAATTCACAAGTCCTAATGACTCCCCAGTACCATTCTCTGAAGCTTCTCTCTGTATCTTTTTTAAAGTCTCCACAAACCGGAGGACCGCCCCCAGACTGCAGCAAGTGTTGCCATGGAGAATACAGCTTCCGAGGCTACCAAGGTCCCCCGGGGCCCCCTGGCCCCCCTGGCATTCCAGGTAAGGATGAGAGAAATGCTCTGTTTGTTGCCAGTCTAATTGTGCACTGGGCCAAAATCAGAGCCAAGGTGAATCGAAATAATTTGGGTTCACTTGTGTGTGATACAAAGGGTGTGCGTGGAAAATCCAAAAGAGAGTTTTGGGAGAGGACTGGGTTTACAGAGCCAATTAGGTGGAACAATATACCAAAAACTCTATAGTATTTATTATTTATCCAGCTTGCAGAATCCCACAGGTGTTCATCCGTCATCTTGGGGCACCAGATTCACTGTCGGTGGCAGAGAGGGGGAGGGTCTTCACCAGCATGGAGTACAGAATCATGGGATCTTATTGGACATACTCTTGTTTGGGCATTTCTGCCACAATGCGCTTCATGTAACACACTCTATCTAACTTTCAGGGAACTTAGGAAGTGAAGGTGGGGAGGAAAGGAGCGCCTGCAGGTCTGCCTATAGCCATCTCCATAGTGCCGTTCACTGAACTACACACCTTACATCTCATTCTGTGTCTAGCTAAGTTTTTCTTCCCTTAGTCTCAGGGTCTGTCCATGTTCAGCTATCTCTTGGTTGACTTTCATGCCTCTCGGGCTCATGGGAACATTTTTGGGCTCCAGCACCACATGGCGACGTGGGAAACGCTGTCGGGCTCCATTCAGACACCCTACCCTACTGGGTGTGCCCCAGGCGTGGGAGGTTCTGAAAACTGGCTAGTGTCTGGGGTCAGCCAAGGAAAGGGTAGCCCAGATCCTCTCTGTCTTAGGACTCCCAAATCCATCTGAGGGTTAATTGTTTTCCTCTTCCCCAGGTTAATTACTGGGGTAGGACTTTTTCTCAGGGTTTGACAGAAGTCCACCTGCTCTTCTCTCACTTACCCTCATTGATGTTAACATTGATCAAATGAGTTTTAATCTTTTAAAAAATATTTTATTTTATTTATTTATTTGAGAGAGAGAGAGAGACAGAGCTAGCAAGAGAGAGAGCGCAGGAGCAGGTGGGAGAGGGAGAAACAGACTCTCCGCTGATCAGGAAGCCAGACGTAGGGCTTGATTCCAGGACCCCGAGATCATGACCCGAGCTGAAGGCAGACGCTTAACCGACTGAGCCACCCAGGTTCCCTGAGTTTTGATTTTTTAATATACTTTTGAGTGGCTTCTCTTATGAAACCAAATTTAAAGTGAGAAAACATTCTGTTAGACTTTAAACCGTGATTACTGTCTTGGAGTCTATGTCATGGAACGTCAAGGGCGGCTCCAGCAGGTGCAGTGACTGGGGGTAGAGAATATTCATCCTCTTAAAATGTTCTGAAGTCTAAACTCTTTTGAGGGTACAGAGCAAGCTGGCCTTGATTAAATGTTTCCCCATCAAAATGGCTTTTTTTGTTGGCCCATTAACTTGCAAACACAGTCAAAGTTCATTTATCTGGAGAGTTTGCAAGCCTGGTATAATACCTGACCAAAGGTAGCATGCAAAATAAACTGCCAAAGGGTGTGAAATTCAACAAATATAAAATAAAGGGAGAGTTGTAGAAATTGTCTCTTAGTGGCAAAGTGAAGAGTTGAAATCATTATCCAAATCTTACTTTCAAAATTATTGTTACAATTTGTATCAGTGATTTACACCTCCCTTGGTGATAAAAGTGGTGCACGTCCTTTATAGAAAAATTCAAAGAGACAAAAAAGTACATAGCATGACACAAAACCACTCATGTTTCATCCATTTAGAAAAAAAAACCCACTGGAAATATTTTTACATAATATATAAGTACTGTTTACACATAATATCGCACTGTCTCTATTGATTCATAACTTTTTTTTAATATTTTTTATTGTTATGTTAACCACCATACATTACATCATTAGTTTTTGATGATTCATAACTTTTTTATCTAAAAGTATCGTGAACATTATTAAATGTTATTAAATATTTTTCTTTAGCATTCTTTTTTTGTGATGATATAACATTACTTACTGGGATGTGCCATGTTTTTAACTGAGCTCTTCCAGTATTGTTTGTTTCTAATCTCTGCCATTATAAATGATACTGTGATCATCAGTCCTCAAAATTTTTCATCCAACTCTTGCTTTATAGGAAAAACAGGCTTTGGAGACTTGAGTAGCTAAGGCTGTCTTCAGTGTCCCATGTAAGAGAACCCATTTGATGATGCCTCCTTGGCTGTGTTTGGGACTGTTTCAAATGGTCTTTTGCAATTGAGAGTGAACATTTTCGAAGAAAGGGTCTGGGGCACCTGGGTGGCTCAGTTGTTAAGCATCTGCCTTCGGCTCACGTCATGATCCCAGGGTCCTGGGATCGAGTCCCGCATCGGGCTCCCTGCTCAGCGGGGGGCCTGCTTCTCCCTCTCCCTCTGCTTCTCCCCCTACTCATGTTCTCTCTCTCTCTCTGTATCTCTGTGTCTCAAATGAATAAATAAAAAAACTTTTTAAAAAAAGGGTCTGCATTTGTATAACAATAGATGGTCAGTGTGAGTGATGGGGGCTTTCTCCTATGATGCATTCTGCTTGTGATTTAAGGAAACCATGGGAACAATGGCAATAATGGAGCCACTGGCCATGAAGGGGCCAAAGGTGAGAAAGGAGACAAAGGTGACCTGGGGCCACGAGGCGAAAGAGGGCAGCATGGCCCCAAGGGAGAAAAGGGCTACCCGGGGATTCCGCCAGAACTGCAGGTAAGTCACCTTGGGCAGATCTCCATGGGACTTCTAACTGCCCAGACCCTCGAAGTCCAGGAGGCAGAAGGCCCGAGCGCCTCTTCACGCCCTCACTGATGGCTACTGGCCCGAGTGCCTCTTCACGTCCTCACTGATGGCTGCTGGCCCAAGTGCTTCTTCACGTCCTCACTGATGGCTGCTGGCCCGAGTGCCTCTTCACGTCCTCACTGATGGCTGCTGGCCCGAGCGCCTCTTCACGTCCGCACTGATGGCTGCTGGCCCGAGCGCCTCTTCACGTCCTCACTGATGGCTGCTGGCCCGAGCGCCTCTTCACGTCCTCACTGATGGCTGCTGGCCTGAGCGCCTCTTCACGTCCTCACTGATGGCTGCTGGCCTGAGCGCCTCTTCACGTCCTCACTGATGGCTGCTGGCCCACATGCCCGCATGCCCGAGGCTGGATTTGCTCACCCCACTGCAGGGCATTGGCAGACGGCCTGTACTGTTCAAAGAGCATTTTGAAATCATTCCTAAGAAGTTGAAATTCAGCTCCCTTCTTAGACTAAATACACAGAAGCCCTGAGTATCAGCTAATGTCCTATTTTCCAAATTGGAAGAGATGTTAAATAAAAAGGGTTTTGGCAACTCAAATATATAAATGGAATGTGTCTACCTCAAATATTTTGTTTATTCATTTTGTTACATTTACCAATTTAAACTATATATATGGATATTAATACATAAGTATTAATCTCTATTAACTCAAGATCTTGTGGCACAGTTTTTATTTTAACTTTTCTCTTGGGGCGCCTGGGTGGCTCAGTCAGTTAAGTGGCTGCCTTTGGCTCAGGTCATGATCCCAGGGTCTTGGGATCCAGCCCCACATCAGGCTCCTGCTCGATGGGGAACCTGCTTCTCCATCTCCCTCTTCCTGCCTCTCTGCCTACTTGTGCTCTCTCTCTGTCAAAAATAAATAAATAAAACCTTTATTTTTATTATATTAAATATATATTATTACAAATATATTATATTAAAATCTTTAAAGATTTTATTTATTTATTTATTTATTTATTTATTTTTGACAGAAAGAGAACACATGAGAGGGGGGAGGGTCAGAGGGAGAAGCAGACTCCCTGCTGAGCAGGGACCCCCTGATGCGGGACTCGATCCCGGGACTCCAGGATCATGACCTGAGCCAAAGGCAGCTGCTTAACCAACTGAGCCACCCAGGTGCCCCCCCCCGCCAAAAAAACTTTAAAAAAAGAAATAAACTTTTCTCATCAGCATCTTCTTTATCACTAGAGACATTTTATTTTTGAGTCATCCATCCTAGTTTGGATTAGACTAAATTATATTTATTTCAGCTTAACGTGTTTTGAATCTATTTATGAAGCTATAATTGAATATTTTATCCTAAGCTTACGTGCTCATTTGTCTATTGTTTATTTCTCTTTTAAGTGATTTTCAAAATTTTTGTTGCCAATAACATCTAACACTTGCAAATGCAAGGTTAGGTCACCAAGAAAATTACTAAGTCTTGGTTATTTATTTCCTGGCTGATGTTTTTAAAATAGATTTTTCCAAGGGATTTCTCTCGACATTGAAAGCAAGCATTTATTATTAATTATAATGGCTGTTAAGTGTATCATTGGTTGCTGACGCTCTTGACCATGTGGCTGACTGGGGGCTGTGGCCCGCTGCCCCTGCCCAGCATCACAAGAGAGGATCTATTGCCTATTGATAGCCCCGGAAAAGATCCAAATTCAAAATCTGAAGTATGGTTTCTACTGAAAGCGGATTGCTACGGCAGCATCTAAAGTTGAAATATTATTTCACACAGCTGGGGGCTGTGTGTAATTGAGAGAATATACCATAACCTGAGAGACTTTTAAAGAATCAGAACACAGAGACTCTTTCTGAAAGATCAATTGGGGGAAAACTTTGCCTTTTATTTGGGCATATCTGGTGGTTGTTTGACCTCGGATACATTCCATCATTTTTCTGGGCCTCGAATTTTCTAAGTTATAACCTGAGAGGTCTTTTGTGTTTCTCGAACTGTTTTTGAGGTTTTGTCACTTGTAAAGGAATGCTGTTTAATAATCTTAGCAACCTGGGATTAATGGGCCAGCAAAAATTTACAAAGAAAAGAAGACAGATGCCGCTTGGCCAGGTTAAAGGTGTCTAATGAGAGGGATGCTTGACATCCTCAAATCTAGAAACTTTAACTCGAAACCTGTGATGGTTATACAAGGGCCAGGGGGCCCTGGGGTAGCCAGTCTGATGGAGCGCACCCTGGGCAATTATTAAAATGCTCCATCAATTATTTTACCCTAAAACCACAATGTAATAATTTGGGAGAACTACACTCACACATTTTATTTATTTTTAAGATTTTATTTATTTGAGAGATAGAGAGAGAGAGCATGAGCTGAGAGAGGGAGAAGCAGACTCCCCACTGAGCAGCGAGCCTGTTGCAGGGCTCCATCCCAGGATCCTGGGACCATGATCTGAGCTGAAGGCAGATGCTTAACCCACTGAGCCACCCAAGCACCCCCTACATTCACCTGTTTTAAAGGAGGCATTACAGAAGAGGAATGATTGGGTTCAGGCAGCCTGTAAAGAAGGGTGACTTCCAGGACCCTTCATTCCCATTTCCAAAATACCTCCTCCGGGGTCATCCCTCTCCTTCCCCTTCCTTCCGAGTCCACAACCCTCATGCTGTCTTTCTAACTGTCCAAATCCTTTCCATGTTGATTCTCCTAAGCCTGCTTTCCCCCGAGTCTTCCAAACTTCAAATTATTCCCTCTCTCCTCTCTCAGCCACTCCCTTAAAACTCCCATTCATTGAAGACTGGTAATCCCAGGAAGCTAAAGAATTTATTGATCTAACTCACACTCAGTTACAATGACGCACGTGGACGGGGGATTGCCATTGATTTTCAAATGTGACTGTCTAATAGCGGTACAATTCCAGTGTGGGGGGTTTTCCCACACCCCCAAGCTAGGTGTCCTTACAATTCAACTCAATTCTGACACTACTTACCTGGAGAATGCATCAGATTCCAAGCTTAAAACCTCAGCCCTACAAGACTGCCGCCCCCAACTTCAGACTCCACTGTAAGTCTGGATTGTCATCTGTGCTTCTGACATTCTGGCTATGAAGGGGAGGCTATGAACCCTCCTGGGGTTCAAGTAATTTGCTAGCATGAACTCAGAGAAACAGGTTGCTTACTCAATCACTGGTTTCTTGTAAAAGGGTATAATTCAGGAACAGCCAGATGGAAGAGATGCATAGGGCAAGGTTTAGGGAAAGGGGTGCAGAGCTTCTCTGCCCTCTCAGAGATCAAGTACCACTCTCCTGCACTTCCCATGTTCACCAACCTAGAACTCTCTGAACCCCTTCCTTTTAAGTTTTTATGGAGGCTTCATTGTATAGGCGTGATTGATTAAATCACAGGCCATTCAACCTCCCACCCCTCTGCCCTTCCTGAAGTGGGGTGGGACTGAAAGTTTCAACCCTCTAATCCCAGGGTTGGCTCCAATGGCAACGGAGCTCCCATCTTTAGGTTGCCTAGGGGTTTTCCAAAAGTTGCCTCATTAACATAACAAAAGACCCCTTAATCTTCCTAAACACTTAAGGTATTCCAATGGTTTTGGGAACTCTGTGCCAAAAACTGGGACAAAGACTAAATGTATATTTATTATAAATCATAGTATCACAGTTCTTTTGGAGAAAAAAAATAACAGAGTGAAGAAAATTAAAAGGTTATTTGGCGGGCGCCTGGGTGGCTCAGTTGGTTAAGTGACTGCCTTCGGCTCAGGTCATGATCCTGGAGTCCTGGGATCGAGTCCCGCATCGGGCTCCCTGCTCAGCAGGGAGTCTGCTTCTCCCTCTAACCCTCCCCCCTCTCATGTGCTCTCTCTCTCTCATTCTCACTCTCTCAAATAAATAAATAAAATCTTAGAAAAAAAAAGGTTATTTGGCTGCAGGCCTTCTCAGATCCTTTAATATGCTAATGTGCATTTAATAGCATTTAATAGCTATAAGTAGATTTCATCCACATTTTCCCAGTAATAGAATTTTAATATTTCAAAAAACATTTTGAAACACAAGGTGAGACCTGCTGATATATACTATCATTTTAATGGCTTCATAGCATAAAATGTTAGAAATTACCATGATTAATTTTTTTCTGTTCATTTCTGATCAAATAATATTGAGCTAAACTTACTTTTATAAAAACCTCATTTCTTTAAGGTAAATTTCCTATTAACTAACTTTCCTTAGATTGCATTCATGGCTTCTCTGGCAACCCACTTCAGCAATCAGAACAGCGGGATTATCTTCAGCAGTGTGGAGACCAACATCGGAAACTTCTTTGATGTCATGACTGGTAGATTCGGGGCCCCAGTATCAGGTGAGATGTAAAAATAAATGAATGACTGAATTATTCAACTAGCAATCTAGAAGGAAGGACAGAAAGAAGGTAGGAAAGAGGTGAGGGAGTGAGGGAGGAAGGGAAATGAAGGAAAAGGAAACAGAAAGGAAGACACGAAGAGGGTTGAGAATTCTTTCTGATTCCGGTTAAAACAATCAGCTCATATATAGATTTCTGTTGGATTTCAAAGTAAATTAATTAGAATTCAAAAAGATGCATACACTTTTTTTTTTTGAAGATCTTATTTTTTTATTTGTGTGAGAGAGAGCACGCACGAGGCAGGAGGAGAGGGAGAAGCAGACTCCCCGCTGAGCCAGGACCCTGGGATTATAACCTGAGCAGAAGGCAGACGCTTAATTGACTGAGTCACCCCAGGCGCCCAAGATGAATACACTTCTATGGTTACTAAGATTTTTATTTTTTTAATTTTTATTTTTTAAAGATTTTATTTATTTATTTGACAGAGAGAGGCACAGCGAGAGAGGGAACACAAGCAGGGGGAGTGGGAGAGGGAGAAGCAGGCT